TCCTCTTTAGCAAAGCAGGGAGCTTGTGGGAAGTGTTTTTCCCCAAATACCTGCACACCTCACACGAGGTACTCATTCCTGACTCGCTCAGTACGAGCCTTCTTTTTGTTCATTGCCTAAATTACAACTTTTCCATCTGTTTGATCAGCTGTTACCATCTCCCAGCCATAAATCCTGTTACTAGCGAGCACCTAATGTTATTGCTACGTGACTGGCAAGAACAGATACTAAGCTGGCTAGATACAGCTAATACTTCCAAGTATTAGCCCCAGTGCTGCTTGAGAAGCAACATCCTCCTCTTGGACTTATTTTACAAGTAATTGACTGAAGTCCAGTTTTCCAAGTAATGAATAATTATAGGAAAGACATCCAACTCAGATTTTTTTTTAATTGAAAACTGTATCTTTTCAAGCGAATTCAAAGTAGCATTTGACAAATGTATGCGTTTATCAATAGAGATGGGTTCCATATACTGAGATTTCTATCAGAGTTCTCACTTCTATCACAGGCCTTAGTGATTAAAAAGTAGGTGCTAAATAGATTACAAATGACAGCTTTGCTACACAGTTCTCAACAGAATCATCATTCGATTCAGTCTTGCCACCATCAGAAGGTGTAAATGGCTGTATTAATCCCTAAGACCACTGCAAGAGAAATTTACCGTGAACTTACATTCACAGTACCCCAAAAATGGAACTCTCAGTCCGTGTTAGCATACCTCATCCTGCGGGTAGGCCTGCTCCAAAATACCCGAACACCTGGCTGCAGGAAAGCTGCTCTCGCACTAAGTCCAAATTCAGGTCTGTTACAAAAGGCTCAAGTTTGCTGCCTCCAGGCCTGCTCTGTGCTTCCTGGGATGCAGTTTCAGTCCCCCCGAGTGTTCCTTAGAGCAGAAGCAAAGCAGAAGAGCTGCCAGCAATCTCTGGTCCAAGGAAACCTTACTTGTGATCCCACTTCAGCATTACTGACACTTAAGCACCAGCATGTTTGCAACAGCCCTTTGAACCAAGCTGGGACCGGTTCAATTTGCGCGTTATGGCATCAGGGTGAGGCGACACGTACCACAGAGAGAGACAACTCTTTTGAATGTCAGTCTACCCCCCCGAACCGTTAAGCTGTCCCTCCGCCTTTCTGTACCTATTCTGCACGATCAGCGCTTAAAGCCTGGAAGAACCATTACGGCACTTACTGCGACATCAGCATCAGGAGCCTTCTAAGGCAATCCTATGCTCCTGAAAACACAGCTGCTATTTTTGTTAGAATTGCACACAGGGAATAAAGTTTCCGACAGCTTTTTTTTGCATTTCTCCATTGTAGAACACTGGTTTGTTTTGCAATCTATTTATTTTCTTTTGAAATATAAGGTATCTTTTCTCAAGACCCAGAGCATGAACTAAACTCTTACTGAAGGGGTATATAGCAGTAATGTTTTCTTCAATTCAGCATGCTTTAGTAAATAATACTCCATCATTTTTTTGCTAGCAACTGAGAACCAATTTTTTGTCCAGCCATCCACAGCTCTTTCAGGTAAAAACAGGGTATGATCTGAGTTACTACTAAAAAACACTTCAGCGAAACAGAAGGCAACTGTGCTTGTGAATTAATTCGGTTTCTGTGCAGAAAGGGAAGAATGGTTTGCGAGCATCAGAATTTCAGCAATTCAGTTCGGGTAAAAGTCTGACACAACTTAAGCGTCTCAAAGTGTTAGGGTCTGCCTCCCCTCCTGAAGGCAGTGCTGCTTACGTATCTTCCTGCCACTGGTTACCTGTGCTTCTAAGGGGGCTCCTCGCTGCCCTGGGGACCCCAGCAGGGCCAGAGATGCTGTATGGGGAGAGGCCAGGGACACAAACAGCATAAACCTTCTCCTGAACGGACTCTGGAGGACCCCACCTCCAATTGCTACCTCCTTCGCTCACACTGGACATTCTATATAAGTAGGGAACCAAAAGCGCCCCATTGATGCCTAAATATACAAGGGACAACTACTTGCAGATGTTTCATCATAACATTAACTTTTTTCCCCTTTTTCTCAGTTTTTTTAATTCTTTAGATTTACTGGAGAAGAGTATTTCAACATGCAAGGCATCCAAGTGATGCCCATGGAATATGAAAGAATTATGAGGCTCTTACTCCAAACATGCATCTCAAACTGCACTTCCTGAAGAAATTTCAAAAGTCAGCAACACTACAGCATACACAGTGTTAAATAAAAACAAAAAAGGTTCCCACTTCCCCCACACCGTGACTTTTATAGTGCACTGACTAAAGGCTTAATATACTTAATAAACTCAGTATGTATGTATTTCATTAAAGACCGAGGCGGATTTACATTAAGCATCCAATTGTCATTAATATGGTATACTTTTGACCTGGCGAGAGTGCTGCCCAGGCAGAACTATGGGTTTATGTGAGCCTGGAATTTCCAAGGACCATTCAGCCCTTGAGGTGCTGTATGATTCCCTGAAACGAAGGGAAAAAAATAAAGGGGACTAGAGAAAAAGAGAAGTTAACTTCCACAACAACTGTGAAGTACTAAAAGGACAGAGTTACTAGCAATTGGAGCTACTACCTGAAATAGCAGAAAACAGACCTGTGCATTCATACAAACAAAAATGTGAAATAACGTATTTAAAAAAAGTACTGTTTAGGCAACGAAGCAGTAGGATCATCAGCCCTGTCCTCTCTGTTCATTTACATCCTCTGCTCCCTTTTTAGGTTATTAGGTAATCTGAGAATAAGGTATGAGAGAGAAGTGATACACACAAATAAAATGGATTCTTAACGTTCTGTTATAAACAAACCAAGTGTACGGCATAACGTTTGTTTCATAGATTATATAAAATGTTTATTAGGAAGTAAAGTGCTCAGTTTTACAGATCAATACATTCTTGATCGTTGTAGAAGACTTGCATAATTAACAGCTTCCTAATAAGGCCAAACACTGTACATTACTATGCAGAAACCTTACCTGTGTAATAAGTGACAAATGATATAATCTAAAGTCAAAAAATGAAATAATAAAATGTTTGTAACATTTGTCAAGTGGCCACGCACTTACTGCAAGGCCCATCGCCAACACACACGGGTACCCCATGAAAACTTAACTGCACTTCAAGATGAAGTTTGTTATTAAGTAACGACACGTTACAGAAATATACCTCAGCAAATACAGCTATGAATGCAAACAATTTCATTTTCATAATAAACATATACTACAAATAAAAGATGAACTGCGTGATGGAATTTATATTTTGAAAGACACGCTTTTACAGGAAACCTGTTTAAAACCATACTGATAGGTTTAGTTTTGCTTTCTTTTCCCCCTGGAAGGCCCTGCCTCACCAACAGATGACTGCTAGATCACCCCCAGTCCCTGCTGCCACAAACCTCAGCGTGCCACATGCTTTACAGGCCACAGGCACAAACCTTACCCCAAGGTATTCTTAGTGAGGTTCCAGCTGATTGCTGGATACCTCCAGTTGGGGCTCATTTGACTGAAGTAATTGATTTTAAGTACATGATTATTTAAATACTACCTTAGCATTTAGGTAACCTTTGACCCTAGAAACCCAACATCAGTTACATGTTACACACACACGGAATTAGTTAGCATGCCTCAAAGTTTAAGCTGTAAATCATGTCACATACCAACACAGTACAATTTTGGATATGAATATAAAGACAAGGCTATGTATATTAGAATTGCTTTGTATTGTATTTTCTATTTTCCTTGCACACCAGCTGGCCATGCATACAGCTGGTGGTTTTTTGGTTTGTTTGTTTAAAGTCAGAAATGCCAGTTCAACACAGAAAAGCTTTCCTCAGGAAGGTTTCTAAGGTCCAAAAAAACTTTCAATCAAGGCAAGACAGAGCTTAGTCTGAGTTGTCTCTCGTTTCACACAAATGCCCTTAACCACTGTGCTGTGCATTGTTTTGGGAAGTTGACAGGGTCTCTTGTGAAAGAGTATGAATTTCTCCCTAATACAGGACAAAACCCACAGAAAGAAAAAATACTTCACAAGAATCACAACTGGTTTTCCCATGCTCTTCTGTTCCCGAGCCAAAGCTATTAAGAAATTCCCATCTCCACATTGAACCTCCTCCTGCTCCAGCTTACATTAATTAAGTTTCTGTGCATATTGTTTCTTGCAAACTCAAAAATAGGGAAAGGCATGAAGTCTGTTTAGTTTTAGCAAGTTCTCTGGTTAGAGGGAAGGCATTCTGAGTCATTGTACATCCACGCAATGCAGTTGTAAGCTTTGCCCAAGCAGTACTACCACAAGAATGAGGTGCTACCCCCAGCAACAACTGGTTTTTGAAATAAAAAGCACCAACAGAACATATACATGCTGCTTATACTTTGTTAAATGGGCGTTTTTTCCTCTATATACCCTCGTAACAGCTAAGATGTGTTTGATTATGTAGCTTTCCATTTTCCTTTACACCAACTCTAAGTCTTTAAATACAAGACAACTGCCATCTTCAGGAGAAAAGCACAACTGACAGCCTCCCTCCTAAACCAGCACTCTGCATATGGAAATGTTGCTAGGCAAAACGACAAAGACTGTGCCTCAATGCTTTCTACGGGAAACCAATGTAATCTCAGTGTTGCATCTCCCTTCAAAAACAAAGCTTCTATGACACAGAAAGCAGAGGAACTGAAATACTAAAAATTAGTGATTATACTACAAACACCTTTCCAAAGGAATCTTGCACCTCA